TGTCCCCAAGATCACCCTTAGCTATGTTAATTGACTAAAAGAACTCACAGAGCTCAGAAAAACTATTAGGGTACAAATAATTTTTTTTTTCAGTACACAGGGCAGAGTCTAGGGGAAGCCAGGAGTTCATTTCCAATGGTATTTTCCCAGTAGATCTGTAGAAACAGTGTTTACCTCCCCCAGCACCTTGAGGCGACAATACTTAACTCTGTATCTAGGCCTGGAGGCTCATCTATGCCCCATTGGATAACTCCAAAACCTAGACCATATTCAGGTCTGCCATTTACTATTTTTTACTCTCTACTAGGAATAACTCCCCTGCCCCCACTTCTCCCTCTCTCTTTGATTAGGTACTAGTTATTTATTTAACCAAAGGGTGCTCTAACCTCTGAACTCCATTCCCAGACCTTTTTAATTTTATTTTGAGACAAGGTCTCTCTCTAAGTTCCCAGACACTGGCCCTAAATTTGCCATTCTCCTGCTTCAGCCTCTCCAGGAGCTGGGATTGCAGGCATGTACCACTGTACCTGTCATTTTCTGCTGCTTATGTTTCAGGATATTTATAGTATTCTGAACATTATATATTTGAGTGTATACACACACACACACACACACACACACACATACTGTAGAGACTAAAGCATAGCATTTCTGTTTTGTTTTGTTTATTTTTCCCAATAGGAAAGTTCTGCCTGACACTTGAGTGTCTGACCGTTCAGTGCTTCCTAAAGATGAATAACCACTATTTTGAAATTTCAGTATTTGAAGAGGCATTTGCTGAAGTTTCAGATATTTTTAGTTCATGTTTTATTTAGTAATGGCAAAGTCCTTATGTATGTAACTTTGATAAATTTATTTACCAGTTTGTGTAATATTAGAGTTTTTTTGATAGATTTCTTAAAATTCTCTATGTAAACAATTATGTCATATGTGAATTATAGTTTTATCTTTCTAAACTCTACACTCTTACTTTTCACCATTTTATTTATTTATTTTTGCCTTGTGTTGGCCAAGATTGCTAGTAAAATGTGCTAAAGAGAGAAAAGCAGACATCTTTGCCTCATTGCTGAAAGAATTTAATATTTCATCATTAAATATGATATAAACTGAAGATATTTCATAAACAGTTCTTATCAGATGAAGGGAAAATGCTTCATTTCCTAGGTTGCCAAGAACTTAGACACAAATGGATGATGAATATTGTCAAGTAATTTTTGTATGCATGAAATAATATTCTGTTAATATATTGAATTACATTGATTTCCAAATGTTAAATCAGCTTTGCGTTCCTGGGATGAATCACACATGGTCATGATGTGTTTATCCTTTTACTGTTGGATTGGATGTGATGCTTGGTTCCATATTTTTCATCTTTGTTTATAAGTAATATGGATCCATAACTTTCTTCTTGAGATTATCTTTGTCAGATTCTGGGTCAGGGTCATTCTGGTCTACTACAATAGTAAAAAACATTCTCTCTTGTTTTTGTCCAATAGAAATTGTAAAAGATTGTTAAAATTTTTTTCTTAAAATGTTTGCTAGCATTCACTAAGGAAATCATATTGCTCTAGAGTTTTCTTTTCTGAAAGTGATAATTCAGTTTCTTCAGTTGATCGTTTATATTTCAATTGTTCGTGTGTGTGTGTGTGTGTGTATGTATGTGTGTGTGTGTGTATGTGTGTGTATTGCTAAGAGTGGAACTCAATGCCTCACACATGCTCTGGATCTTCAATTTTTTTTACTGGGGTCAGGTTTTATAACACTGTCTTTCAAGAAAGTCACCAACTTTGTCCATTGTTAAATTTACTGGTATAATATTTCTATATCCTTTTAATGTCATTAGTATCTCTAATGATCATTTTCTGGATTTGTAAATTTTATGCCTTTTCCATGTATTTCTTCCCTACAAATTTTTATTTTTTATAAAAATAAAAAGAATAAAAATCTACTTACTTCCTCTTCAATTTGTTTTTCTTTCTCTAGTTTCTTAAGGTAGAAACTTAGATCACATACTTCTAAAACTTTGTCCTTTTTAATATACATTTCTCACTAACCACTACTTTATATAACACAGGTTTTAAAGTTTTCATTATTTTTTTTGTCCTAATTATTTTTTATATTTGTTTTTGGATTCTTCTATGAGACTTAGAGATTACTTAGATATGGTGTTTCAATTTCAAATGTTAGGGATTTTTTATATATATTTTATTACCTTTACTTTCTAAATTAATTCATTGTGATCAAATATCATTCTTTATAAGATTTCAATGTTAAAACTTACTGGTATAGTCTTTTGTGTGCATTTCAGGTATGCTTGAAACTAGCCTATTTTCTACAATCCTGGTTGTTAGCATCCTAAAGCAAACTGGTAATTAGGTCACACTGGTAATAATGCTATTCAAATCTTTTGTATGCATTTTAAACTTATTTTGTCTATTTTTTTCTGTTGGTTATTATTAAAAGTGTATTATAAAAGCTCCAGCCATGGTGGGCACAGTGGTGCATGCCTGTGATCCCACTGGTTCTGGACACAGGAGAATTGCAAGTTCAAAGCCAGCCTCAGCAACTTAGCCAGACTCTGTCTCAAAATAAAAGGGCTGAGGATGTAGCTCAGTGATTAAGTGCCCCTGGGCTCATCCCTGCTACCAAAAATAAATTAATAAAAGCAAGCTCAAACTATGATTATGGACTTGCCTGTTTCATCTTTTAGTTATGTCAGTTTCTCCTTCAGGGTAATTTGAAGTTCTGCTTATAAGTACCTGCACAGTTTGGATGGTCCAGTTTTCCTGAGAAACTTATTTGGTTTTCATCATTTTCTAATGTCTCTCTATCATCTTGAAACCTATTTGTGTGATAACATTAAAGCCTAAACATCTCTCTGTTGTTAATTTTCATTTGCATGGTATATAATTTGCCTTTATTCCCCTTTACTCTCAACGTACTTGGGCCTTCTCACTCTTAGAGTTCCTAGGAAGCAAACTCTGACATGGAGATTTCATGCACAGGATGTATTTGGGATGTGCTTTCAGTATCAATACCTTTGGGGAGAAGGAAGGAAGCAGAGTTGGACTAAGAGACTTTGGTTCAATTGCAACAAAGGCTCAGCTGGTTTTATGGGTGCCCTAGACTAGGATGCACCTTGTATCGGGGGAAAGTGTTTATACTCCTACATTGACCTGGCTGACCCCAGAAGGGATGTGATCTTGGGCACAATTAATCTGTTGTTGAAGCAAGTCCTGGAAAGGAACTCAGTTGAGAGGTATCAGTTGGCAACACTCCCAGCAGCTATAGGAATGAGTTCTTCAGACCTAGATCTGAATGTGTGGGTGGTGCTCTGTGTCATTACAGTGTATATTGAAAATGCTTCTTGTAACTCTCCTATAGCTGAGTATCAGTTGCGTAGTACAAGATGATGACCTTGGCTTTCTGTTGCAGTGTTTAATCCCTTGATACTTAGTGTAATCATCCATGGGGTTAGGTGGGTATGCCATTTTTCTGTGTATTTTCCATTTTTCTCATATGCTATTTCTTCCTCTTTTCCTGACTTCATTGATATCAGTCATTTCTTTATGTTTTTATTTTAATTGACTTAATGGCTTTTTATTATATTTATTGATATTTTTCTTATTAATATTTAATGACAGGAGTTATATTATGTACCCTAAACTTACTATTTATCCACGTTTAATATAATACTTAAAGCCAAATAGAGAAACCTTAGAAAATACAACTTCATTCACTTGACCATCTTTTGTGTTGTTATCATTTATTTTACTTCTATAGAATATTATAAATCTCACAATATAGTGTCATATTTTTGCTTCAAAGATAGAAGCATATTTTTGCTTCAAAAAGCTGTCTTTAATTATTTAAGAGGAGCATAGAAGATAATCTTTGACATTTACCTGCATTCTTACATTTATGTTATTCTTCATTCCCTCCTGCACATCTGAGATTTCATTTGGTTTCTTTCTTTCAGCTGAAATCACACCATAGTATTTTTTTTTCCTTTTTAATTCAGGTCATATATGAAAAAAAATATTCTCAATTTTTGTTTATCTATGCTTCCTTTCTTTCATAAAAGCATGTTTGGCTTCTTTGGACCACTGAGCAATAATTTTTTTCTAGCTTCCTTTTTAGAAGAGGGTTATCATTTTTAAGAATACTAGTTTTGGGCTGGGGATGTGGCTCAAGCGGTAGTGCGCTCGCCTGGCATGCGTGCAGCCTGGGTTTGATCCTCAGCACCACATATAAACAAAGATGTTGTGTCCACCGACAACTAACAAATAAATATTTTTATAAAATTCTCTCTCTCTCTCTCTCTTTCTCTCTCTCTCGCTCTCTCTCTCTCTCTCGCTCTCTCTCTCTTTCTCATCTCTCTCTCTCTTTTAAAAAAAAAAGAATCCCAGTTTTATTTAGGGTCTCAATTCTAGCACATTCTCTGAAACAAACATATATCAAAGTCTCCTGTTCCTGGATGGATATTAGAAGTGTTACAACTCCAGCTCTCAGGCCTTTGGCTCATTTTTTAGCCACCTAGGTCAACGAGGTCAGCTAGAAGCTTCTGTTCTGGTTTTGAGTTCCCAGTTTATTTCTGGTTACTGAATTCTTCCTCAATGGTGACAGGGTATGCCAAATTATGGGAATTGACTGTTTTCACTGTTTCTTCATTTTTATATCAGAGGTGAACAATTTAGGAAGGTAAATGTTCATATCAACTGCTAAGATGAAAGAGTCTGCTATTTTTCTTCATAATGTGGAATACTTCTAGGATTACAAATAACAATCAAATTATGAGAACTAAATCACTGTGGAAGCTTTTCTTATTCATTTATTTATTTTTAATAGACTGTATATTCACCTGGTTAACAAAGAGGTTTCAGCTATTGGCTTTATTTATTGTGAGATCACACATGTACTAAGTGGAATCATGTATATAATTTAGTAAAAAATAATTTTTGAAGTTTCAACTTTTGCTCTGTTGCTTCCTGCTCCAACAGGTCTATGGAAATGCAGGACCTAGCAAGTCCTCATACTCTCGTTGGACCTAGTGATACTGCTGGTGGCTCCAAACTGGATAAATCCAATCTCAGCAGCACATCAGTCACTACAAATGGAACTGGAGGTAAGTGTATCACCCCAGAGATACCCAGAATCATATCTCATTGTTTGCTTTAATTTTACATTAGGATTCTGCTAATAAATGATTATCTTATTATCAGTATCAGTTCAGCATTATATCCTAGGAATATAGAGTTAGTATATCATTTATCATTCTGTTGATTTTCTTGAAATATATGTTCTTCCTCCATAGTGGAAACATTCAGAGAGAACAGATAGTCCTGAGCAACATTTTGAGGGCCTACAGAAGGTTTTCATTTTGTGTTTTCACTTATTCCTTATAAATATTTCAAATAATTTAAAAGTTTTTATCAAAAGATTTGAACTCTGTTAGTACAAACACACACACACACACACACACACACACACACACACACCCCACTTATGCCACTTTTGCGTTTTATTTTGATTTAAAAGAGATTACCCAAAATTTTTCATAGAGAATGTTTTTTTCTTAAAAATGATCTTGGAAATACAAAAATATGCATATCTGCTGTATTTTCTTTTCAAAGAGAATAATACCATAATACTTAGCACTTCTTTAAAAAAGGATTGTATTTTTACAATTTCCTTGTTTATAGTGTTTATTTGTATTTTTTCTAGATACTTTCTCATTTCATTAGACCATAATTATTCCACAACAACAGCTAGTCTGTCTAAAATCCTGTTTTTTTAAATATAATTTTTTTATAGAATGCATTCAACTTGTCAGAACATATGATCCAATTCTTTTACTAGCATATGTATATATTGACTATATACATACATACACTCTCATAAATATGATATAAGTTGCATTTCAATTATTCACAACCATTTTAAAATCTTATAAATCTAGTCTCATCAATAAAGTAAAATTTATATGAATTTTGGTTTAGTTTGTAAACTATTCTTATTATCAGATATCAGCATTTGCCACATCATATTTTCTTTTAAATTTTGAATAAATATATATAAAATTGCTACACTTCTTCCCATTTAATATAACTGTGCAGTCTAAACTGTTCTTTGTCAAGTTGTGTGCATTGCAACTTACCTGTACTTAATAATGTTTTATACCAAACCCTTTGTAGATTAACATTCTCCTTGTTTATAGTGTTTATTTGTCTCTAAACATGCATCTATAATTTCAGCTAATTAATTATGGGATTGCAAATATATAAGAATATTTAGCGATGACTAGAGTATGAACATTTACATTTAAACTTGAAATAGGATACTAATAAGATTGAAAAATCCTCTGAAATCAGACTTTGAAGTTCACAAATTGTCCTGTACATATATTTACTGAACTAAAACAGATCTGGGTACACTAAAGTACAGAAGTCATACAGTGCAGTGCTAATTTGGCTAAAGGTCAGAAACCAGCACAGACATTGAAGATTACTCATGTACACTGAGCAGGCGTTCAGACAATGAACTCTTATACTGTTCCTGTTCTCAGGGGACAACATGACTGTTTTAAATACAGCAGACTGGTTACTGAGTTGCAACACCCCCTCTTCTGCAACAAGTATGGGAGACGATGGTACACTGCATGCGTTTGGGTGTGTGGATTTGCCCCTCTGGTTTGCTGTCTGTTGCTCTTTCTGTGTTTGCCCCTCTTCTCGGGGTTCAGTATGTAAAAAGGAGAAAAGTGAACAAGCCTTTAGTTGTTTATGGTAACAGTGGGCTGTGGTTTTCTTATCAACTGATGCTCTAATCTTACATTCTAAAGAATGTAAGAATGTAAGATTAAATGTAAAGAATGTCAGTGGGGTATTTTTTCCTGATATTTTTCATAATTTGGCACAAAAAGGTACATACGTGGACCACACATGGTTTTTCTAATGACTAAAAAATTTATTATTCGGTTAATTTGACCCAGCGACAGGCATGTTGATCAGATCAAATTGAAGGAGTAAACATATATAAAAATTGAAGGAGTAAACATATATAAAATATGGGTTACCTAATAACCCATAGATTTTTAGGATTWAAATTAAATTCTTTACATGGCAAAAAGATAGTAGCTAGTTTTCAGACTTTGATAAATATTTCAAAGTCAATAGTCAATATCATATTACTTTCAAAAGTTTCAGTGATGAAACTATATGTTTTAAATATTGTTTAGTTTTCAGTGGATCTTTATTTTATTTATTTATATGTGGTGCTGAGAATCAAACTCAGTGTCTCACACGTGCTAGGCAAGCCCTCTGCTACTGAGTCATAACCCCAGCCCCTATATGTTTAAAATTATAATAGTCTCTTGAAATGTCTTGATCTATAGATATTTATATTCATACACACACAAATTTTTCCCCATATCAAATATTAATATACTACCAAAATGTAAATATTTAAACCATCTCAATACTGCAGAAACACTCATTTTAGGCTTAAAAAAAAGAGCTAATATTTATTGGAAAGATGCATTAAAAGCAAGTACTTAAAATAGGCACAGTTTGGCTGGCCTTGCTCTCAGATCAAATTAAAATATCACCACCATATAAATATCACTCCACTATGTGCATTGTTTATATTTTTATGGTTTTAGTTTCAAATATTTCTCATTTTCACATTTGGAATACACTTTTCATACTTAAAAATATGTTGCCAGGATTCAGTTTTTCTTAATTCTAATGCAGAAGTCCCTTTTGGAAAAGATCAAGATAGTAAATGTGTCTGGCTTTATAGAACACACAGTCTCTGTTTCAGCTCTCAGCTCTGCATTGAAGTGCAAAGGTAGCTGTAAGCAGGGTAAAAATGAATGGCCATGGCCATGTTCCAATAGACTTTTATTTATAGACCACCAAATTTTAAAAATTTAAATTTCATATAATTTTCTTGTGTTATGATATATTCTCATTTTGCCAGTTTTTTATCTTATTTTTTTTTTTTTTTTGGTGGGGGGATACTACAGATTGAACCCAGGGGTGCCTAACCCTGAGCCTATCAGTAGCCCTTTTTTCATATTTTATTTAGAGACAGGATCTCACTGAGTTGCTCAAGGCCTTACTAAGCTGCTGAGGCTGGCTTTGAACTCACAATCCTCTTGCCTCAGCCTCCTAAGCTGCCAGAATTACAGGCATGCACCACTGTGCTCAGCTCACTTTGCTAATTTTTTAGACAAGCATATGTTAAAAAAAAATTATAGCTCACTGACTGTTCTGAAGTAATGTTAATGTATTACAATAATGTATATGTCCAACAATATTTAGGAATTTTCATCTCACCTCAAGCAGAAACATTTTTCTAAGTGTAAACCATCAAGTTTTCTTGATTCTTAGGGTAAATGTTATGCCTTATATGGCCATGTGGAAGGAAAAGGACTTATGTGTAAGGAGCACCATGGATCTAGATGTTAGCACTACTCTTACTGGCTGTGTCACCTTGAACAAGTTAGTTAACCTCTTTGAGCATGAGTTTTTTCCTCTAAAAAAAGGAAGTCTACAACATATAATGGCAAAGCATTTTGTAATTAGATAATGTATACAAATTGCTTGGCAATAAATACTGCTACATCTTTCTTTCTATAATTAATTATATAATGAATAAGCAAGTTGGAAAATAAAAATTTGCATTATATTTAAGGAACTTTCAATATTTGGTCAGATAAACATTTTTGTTGAATAGAGAAATTTGTAAAATGGGCCAAAAAGGCAAACTTTTAACAAAGTGTTATATGTACTTCAGTTATTGGGATATAGTCTTAATGGCATACTGATACTGGAAATTTTAAGGAATTTTATTGAATTTTTAATGGCAAGTGTTATGTTACACACCACACATTGGTTATATAATCTCTTCCACAGAGAATAAACTGTTTTACTTTTTTAATTCAAAGTTTTATTGTTGAAGTTAATCACTTTGTAAAATTATCCCAATAAAAAGTATAAGCTAAATAAATTTAATGGCTTTTCAAGACCTTTCCATTAACTTTGAGAATAATTTTAATTCTGTAGTTTTAATACCTATAAATAGTATCGCCTTAAGATCCTACATTGGTGTTTCCTAAATACATTGCGTTATTTCTTAAAGTAATTTAAGATGTTTTATCACTTTAGTCCTAACTTCATCATTATATCTGCAGATTTATATGGGAACTAAGATTTTTCCCTTTTAAAATGAACACAATCATACCTTAGCAAACAAATGACTGGCCAGGCTTTGTGGGCCACACAAATTAGGCCATGGTGTTGTTGCACGATAGCAGCCATAGAATGACTTAGTAGCTACAACTGACACATGACAATAATCACATGATCTGGATTTAGTCTATAAATACTAATTATTTTAATCAGTAAAAAATGGAAAATCTGATTACACATATATGTTTTTATATATATGTATATTATATAGTGTATTTATATGTATTTTTTAACTATTTGACTATGTGAAAAGCACTCAAATTGCAGTTAGTCAGGGTGGGATCTGACAAGGCAAGAATTTCTTTGACTTTTTTTTTTTTTATACCTTGGTTTTAATTATTTATTTACTTTTTATGTGGTGCTGAGGATTGAACCCAATGCCTCATGTGTATAAGTCAAGCACTCTACCACTGAGCCACAACCGCAGCCCCAAGAATTTCTTAATGTGACAATTCTGTACAAAGTGCTGTGGCTGTGTAAAGTTGTTTTATCCTAAATTTCATGAACCATCTACTCACTTCTTTTGAGCATGGAGAAGAATAAAGCCTCAGAAGTCTCCAAAGTAGGACATGAAAATCTGATTTCTGCTTTGGAAATCAAAGCATTTGTTGTGTGGGTTTTAATTTTGTTGAAAGTGTGGTCCTTTTCTCCTATACAAGGTTTTTGCTTCTATTTTATAGTATGTAGTGATTTTTAATAGTGACCTGAAAAGTGAGTAGAAAGACCTGTTTAAACTCTATATTAATTTGAGACAAACAAGATATAGTTGTATATTTTACTGAATATACACTGAATGAGGATTTTTTCGCAAGTTTTAGGAGAGACATAAAAAAAAAGCTAGATTTGTTTTATTAATGAACATGTTTCTAACACTGCCTTGCACGTATTTAATTTTAAAAAGTTTTCTGCCACTAGGAAAAAATATAGTATATCTAATTTAAACTGCAGAAACAAAAGAAAATAAGATACAGTTCAAATATTTTTGGAACCTTAGGGAAAATGATTTCTGTTTTTCAAGATTTGTAATTATTACATAATGTATACTTTGTAACTATTATCTTTTTATGGATATCAATATAATCCTCCTTTTTACTCTAATATCTGTTTAATCACTCAATATAAGTAAAAGTACTGATTTCACTTCTCTGAGTTTTCTATTGTTAAGAGATTCTAATTATTTGTTATTACCCAATATTACACCCTTTCTTTTAAAAAAATAAAAGAAAAATATCTGTGCATTTCATTTGGAGCTCAGGAGATATGTGTTAATGTCCACTTAACGTGGAAATGATGTTTACCTGTACAGTGCAATTTATTTCTATCCCCTATTATCTTCTGTAGTATAATTACCTGCGTAGGAAAAATAATTTTACATCAGTGTCTGTCATTTTCCTCCACATGTTAGCATCTATTCTTTGACTTTTACCTTAAAATCCCTCCACTTTTGTATCCTGGACACATCTTGATATTTGTGCATCTGCATGTACTTGCTAGGGATGCTTCTTCTCAGTAAAATGGACCACTTTTTTCTATCTTTTTTCCCTGGAGATTGAACTCAAGGGCACTCAACCAATGAGCCACATCCCCAGCCCTATTTTATTTTGTACTTTATTTAGAGACAGGGTTTCACTGAGTTGCTTGGTGCCTGGCTTTCACTGAGGCTGACTTTGAACTCAGGATCCTCCTTCCTCAGCCTCCCAACCTTCTAGGATTACAGGTGTGCATCACCTCATGAGGCTCCTTTGTCTACCTTTAAGTAAATACAGACCTTTATAATTTTAATGAAAGATGTTACCAATATTAAGAATGAAATAAATAGATCTCACCTTCTTCTTTGTCCTTGTATGATAGTTTTTCTGAAGGCTTTTGACCACCTGAAGTTTTCAAATCGAGGAGATTTATAATCACAGTCAATACTGAATTTTTAAAATCAAGTCTCAAAGATGCAATCCAAGGTAATAAAATGAATCTTGGGGTCTGATTCCTAGACTAGTTTCATCAGACTCACCTCATATTCTGCTTCATTTCCTAATGAACAAGTGAAGTAGGTTATCGTTGGAAATATAATAAATCTATTTTACAGGCACTGTTTATAGGTACAGACATGTGTAAATAGGAACTTAGCCACAATCAGTTTGGAAGTCTGAGAAACTCTCATGGTAGTTTTTCTGTCAGCTTTCGACTATGTCATAAATGTCAGAAGGAAAATGTGGACATTATACCACAGAGGGTAACCTTTACATCTATCTGGATTATTCTCTGGATTGTCTCTATACAGATGAAAGGAATTCTTGAGTAGTTGGTACTTCCTAAAAGGCAAATGGTTTAGTGATTGGATTCTGCAAATGTACCACCTGATCTCAAATTCTAGTTCTTACCAGCAGTGTGATTGTGGACATGTTATTTAATCTTCGTGTGTCTCAATTTCCTCATCTGAAGAATGAAGATACTAATATTGTCTGTTGACTGTTGTAGAGAGTAAATAAATTAATTCCTGTAAAGCACAGGAAAAGCCCCTGGAATGTATCAAGCATCTTTTAATTGTGTGCTCTTATTATCTACTTTTTTTTCCTTGTTGTCTTTTAAAATATGTCATGAGGAAGAAATAAAAAATGCAAGTTAGTAGCCTATTTCAGTACTTTGCAGCTTTCAATTTAAAAAAAGGCATTCCTAGAATGTAACCATATTCTTATAATGCTCTAAGTCTTCATGGAGAACCACTCTCAGGAACATAAATAAGCAAGTTATTTTTCAGGCCTGAAGATAGTTCTGGTAGAAAGATTATTATTAAAATTGAATTTCTTAATTCAGATCTTATTCTAAATTCCCAAATTCAGATCATTTCTTCTGTGATGGAACTGACACAGATTCCTTAGTCACCTGAATTTTAGTTTCTTTGTGTATGAAATGGATAAAGTGATATGTAACTATCGGGTTGTTTTAAGGCTTAGCTAAATGCACATGGTCTAGCATATAGTAAGCTCTCATTAATAATTTTATATTAATTAGAAATTTTATAGTGGTAAGCACAATTGCTAATTAGGTATAATGTAATGTGAACAACTGCAAATTACTATTGAAATGTACTAATCATTCATTGGTTATCATTATGCAAATAATAAGACTCTACTCATTATTGCTATTTAAAGTTAGGTCAACCTCCAATTTTCCTTTGGTTAGGATAAGTAATCCATTTTTTACTTCCTCTTTCCAAACTGAACAATTCACCTCTGACTCTACCAGCAAATTATCATGTCATTTTTCGAACATGAATACTAAGTTAACTCAGAACTCACTGAGGATCTGTTTAAGTCTGTTCACGTGGAAAGCACATAATCATTTCTGCATGTTGTTTCATCAATCAATTGCTTTTCTAACACAGTAACATTACTGACATGGGTGTAATGTTGGTAGGTACTTTGTGACCCTGCTATTCTCTTTTGGCCTACTTAGTCATGGTTGGCTAGTCTGCAGCTTTCTTTATAGTTTACTGCTTGCTTCTAAGTTATATAACTGCACCATTCCATTTATGACCAGGAAACATAAGAAGTGACAAGTAGAAAATAAGTTTGTTTATTCCCTTACTGCTGTGATATATGTAGTAAAGCTTTGCAACCAAGGGAAAATATGGTGTGACCAAATGGGGAGAGGCTTTATCACTGCCCCACGTGCTGTGTCTCATAATGGCAATAATGTGTGCCAGGCTACATTGCTGCCACAGAGGATTTTGCCCAAATACACCATCTCAAAGTAAAAATAACATATTACAACAGTTTTCCAGAGATAGGCTTGCTGCTGTCAAAGTCACCTCTTCTCTGCTTAGCTCTATAACACATTAAAAATTGTTACAGCATTAATAATAAAAAAAAAAAACAACACTTGAAGACTCCTTGTCTTTTTTAGTCTGGAAAATTTATTGTCTCATCTGTCACCCATCAATGAATAGGCTCATGGTTTCTGGATTTGTATATGCCTCCATTGTACTCTAATGCAATTTTTGTTTTTTTAAATATCTCCTTGGGAAGAATAAAATATCAACTAGTAAATCCCTCTGTTATGATTTGAATTAAATGTGCTGGTGACTGACTGGATTCTTCTGTCTGTTGACTCTATCAGAGTGTGCTTAAGTGAATTAAAAATGCAAATATATGTACTGCTGTTTCACTTTTGAAGGTTGACTGCCTTTAAAAGTCAGGCTCTGAGAACCAGCTTAGCCAGAGGATTCTAGAATAAATCCTCCATAAATGCATGCCCACTTAGAAGCTAAATTAACAAAACTCTTCTCGTCAACTTCTCAAAGTTTTCTCTTGCATGCCCATGATAGCTAGGGAGATCAGTCGTAGAACAGTCAGGGTCTTTGATATACATTTAGAAGTAAAACTCACGTGTACTTATTCTTCTACGTAGTGTCTCTTCTTGCAGTCAAAACAGAGCCCTTGAACAGCAGTGAAACCACAAGCACGACTGGAGATGGAGCGCTTGACACTTTTACTGGGTCAGGTAAAGCCTTTAGTTCGTGTGTCCTTATGTCCACACCAGGGTCCATGCACAGCCTCCTCCTTGCGGATAGCAATGTGAACATCAAAGCTATTAGAACTTGAATCTTTATGAAGTTAGCAACAAATCCACTTTTGAGATTCATCCTAAAACTATGTATTTTTACAAATTATAGTAGGAATTATTTTGCCAGCTTTTCAGTTGACAGTGAAGCAATCCCATGACTTTCTCATTAGAGATAAGCAGAGCTGGCTTCCTTCATCATGATTTTATGCAGTGCTTAATTAATTTAATAATTAGGTCACAACAGCCGACTTTGTTCCTTCAACTCACCCACTTAAATTACATTAAAAACTGCCTTCTATCCCCCATCCTAGATGTAAAACTATCCATTTGATTCCTTCTAAATAACCTTGCTTCCTCTCTGGGTTTAAAAAAGCCCTCCTGTGCAAGCAGCTGAGTGATAAGTATTAAAGGTTAATGGGCTTCGGGGGACACATGCTGGTTGCATTAGAACCCAGACTCAGGGAGCAATCCTGGGCTTCAAAGAGAACAACCTTGTGTCTTTAAACATCAATCCCTTTTAAATAGAAATATCTGATAACTCCCAGCTGGACACAAAGGGTGTGAAATAAGCTGACTTAGTAAAAGATTTTTTTTTTTAATTACAGTATTGACTTGGTAAAATTTTTTCTTTTTTAATTGCAGTATTTTGGTTAGCTTATTTTCTGGCAAAAGGATTAAAACAAACAAATAAACAAAAAAACCTTAGAAGGAATGTGTACATCAGAAAGATGAAAATTAAACCTAGAAGAGCAGTTATGGCAATTAAATCTCGGTTCCATTGTCTGCTTTAATGTATTTTACATTTATTCATGTTCTTATGTGCAAGGATTTTAGGTGAGTATGCCCTAAGTAAAAAGAGTTGAGATATGTGTTTGAGTATAATGTCATCATAGCACTTTAATTTTTATGGATGGGGATGACCCAGTTTTATTAGTTCACACCAGTTGGAAGTAGTTGTCATATATTGACATAAATATTAGTACTCCAAACAGAAATAATGTACAGTAGATAAGCTTTGCATAGAAACTCACTTATGCTAATTCTCATCCTTCCTGGCATTTTGCCTGCTTCCTAGGAGATAGACACTGACTTACTTTGTGATTCTGTATTGCTCATTTACTTTAGCTCTTATAAACATTTTGCAAAGTAAATGTATATAATGCATTTTTAAGAAAAGGAGTTATTAAGTGATTGCTATCATACTTCAAGGGCATACAAGTACCTGGAAAGTTGAATGACAGAACTATAGAATGATAGTTCCAGAAGGAGTATCAGAGCTCTCTGATTCATTTTTCAGAGGAGAATACCAAGGTGCACAGAGAAGTCAAAGGTAGTTATGGCCCCATGATCAAGGCATTATAACTGATACAAATGAGGCTAGAACTGGGTAGTACATGGGTCCTTTCAATAGTCCTCCATTGGAAAATATAAAGACACACAAAGAAACATGTGTAAACAATCATTCTGTTCGAAATTACACTCATATTTTCTTTAAACATATTTTCCCAGTTTTCTTTTCAAACTTTTCTAAGGCTATGCAGTCTAACAAAATAGCCATTTGCCACATGTAACTATTTAAATTTAAATTAAGTAAAATGTGGTAAGATAAAAATTTTGTTTTTTATCACACCAGCCACACTTCAAATGTTTAATGGATGCCTGTAGCTAGTGGCTACCATATTGGATAACTCAAATATAGAGCATGTTCAACACCATGGGAAGTTCCTTCTCAGTAGTGATCCAGGATAAGGGTTCTCAATGGCAGTACTATTAAAATTGGGGGCTAATTCTTTATTGTGAGGGATCTATGCTGTGCATGGTAAGATGCTCAGCAGCATCCACACATATGCTCCAAATGCCAGTAGCACCATCAGTTATAACACCAAAAAAAATAACTCCAGACATTTAACATTCTCCTGGCATATAAATTCCTCCCCGCTTCACATTTAGAATCACTGACCTAACGTATCCTAATAGTAAGAGTAAAACCCTAAAATCATTTGACACAATCCTCTGGAAAACTAATAGACATTAAATTTTTTAAATTAATTTCAGGATATTTTGAAGACTAGCAGTTCTGTTTTTTTTGTTTGTTTGTTTGCAGAAATGGTGAAATATACTGAGTTGAGTGCTTTGGGGTTAATTAAAAGACAATGAGGGATAAAGAGAAGATCTTCCCTATTTGTATAGGGTGTCCCATACGTTTTTCAGGAGATCAGGCTGCCTTGGCAGGAACAGTCTTTATTCTGAACAACTAATCACAATTCACTTGAATCCATTTTTGTTGTTTTCTATCATCTGCAAATTTATGAGCATAAAATATATAAATTTTAATAAAGAAGCTTATATTCTCCATCTTGTTCTTTAAATGGCCTCTTAGTTTTCTAAGCCAAAAGTTGTGTTTTTTATTTAGAAATTGAAAATATAGACATTAGTGTGACATTTCAATTTAACTGACAATTTATTTGTTGTGGGTACATTATTCTAATGATACCTAGATTTGTTAATTAGAGAGAAAAAACATCCTATATGTTCAGAATTGTGTTCATGTATATAGTTTTTGTCTGAAATACAGAATTTTGCTCTTCACCATATTTACTGAAAACTGCTATAGTGAATGTTTCTTTTCATCATTCTGTGTATTTTGAAAATTCTCCTATTTTTCAGTCTTGAGAATAATTAGTATGTATAGCCAAAGTCCTTTAAAAAAGAGATAAAACATCTTGGAATTAAGTCTTATTTAACTGTTTTTCTGATAAATAAAACATTTACTAGAGGGAATTAATAAATTAGACTGAAAGCACTATTATTATATAATGTACATTTAGTACCCATGGAGTATAGTACAAAGTTTACCCTCATTGAATTGATTTGAGAGTTTTAAATATCCTTTTGAGTTTTTAAGATTAATTAAGTAGAAAATTAATGGCTTACCAATAAATTTATTTCTAATATACATATATAGAAAATTCACTTAAATTTTGATTCCTGAAAATTTTTAGAATATTATGCCTCAGTCAGATTTGACTGTTTTCAAACTTGATTCCTAGTATTCCTGAAAATGTGCTTATTGTATTATTGCTGTGAAAACTATACTTTCCTTACCCCAAACTTATAGACAAAATAGCATTTTAAACACCTTATGTTCTGTATGTTTATGAAGCAATAGATCACAAGGGTACTTAATAACATTTGGATATAGAAGTATATCATATTTCATAAAATACTGAGCAACTTAAACCTATTTGTCACTTTTACAATTCTAAAAGTTTAGTTCCAGAATTATTATGAACAACTTAGGAAGGTCATAGTACTTTGAAGTAGAACTATGATTGATTAGACTAAACTAATTCCAGCACTGTGTTGTGTACTACTTTAATCTTTTTGAAAAGTGAATGAACAGCAGATGGCCTAATAAAGACACTCTGTGTGCTTGCCCAGTATGGATTGGCTCTGAAGGGGCTGGCTCAACACTTTAGAACCCATATATTTGCAATACATCTGTCTTAGTCAAGGCAGATGGCTAAAGGAAAGAGAAACTTCCAAACTTTTGGATATATTCCAGTCTGTGGTGCATATTTGGATGAAATGTTTATAGAACCTGACTTTTACTTTTAAGTTCTTTTTAGAAAAGTATTTTCTCTGATAGTTCTAAATATGTATGTAAATATGATTGCTACTGCATTTTGTGATTATGCTTAATAGAAAGTGTTACATCATCCTGCATGTTTGCTCTGTACATTTCAAATATTTCTAGGGTACTTTGGTCTCTGCATTTTTAATCACTCCTCGGATTAGTAAAATGAAAGAAAATAGAAAAGAATAGCATGTTTACAATTAGTGAATGATGTTTTGAAACATGAAATTATTTTTAAATATTATTTTAAGGCTGGAGTTGTGGCTCAGTGGCAGAGTGCTTGCCTCGCACATGTGAGGCACTGGGTTCGATCCTCAGCACCACATAAAAATAAATAAACAAAATAAATATATTACATCCATCTAGAACTAAAAATATTTTTTAGAATGATTATTTTAGTTAGAATAAATCTGCAGGCAATATATTGCTATCATGTGGAGTTTAAAATGTAAAGTGTTCAAATTTAAAAATTTACTTTTACACCTTGAAAGTTTAATTATTCTATAATCAAAAATACTTATTTATAATGTATCAATATGTAAGAGTACACTGCTGACTTGAGAAAATGGATGAGTGATAGAATGATTTGAATGAGGAATATTTATTTCATGCTCTTAGAACAAAATTCAAAGCAGTTTAAGTTGAAAAAGTATTTAGGGAGCTGTTACATTTTAAGAAATGGATTTTAGAAAATGAACAAAATTTTAGAAACATTTAACATGGCAATTTCTTTAAATTAGCTATATACCTTCTAATGGAATGCATTTATGAAGCAAATTTTTTTTGTGCATTGGTTTTTTGTGTCTTACAGTAATCACAAGCAGTGGCTACAGCCCTAGATCAGCACATCAGTACTCTCCCCAGCTCTATCCTTCCAAGTAAGTGGTCAGTAGATGCAGTTTTGTTAGAACCATTTTCCAGAATTACATTTATTAATTTATATTCACACAATATATCAACTTTAGCTGGCAAGCATTTCTGTACATACATGTAACATAGGCAGCTGGATAGATATTTGGATAGATTAGACATAAAGTATTCTATACATATTAGAAATAGAGACATCAGGGGCTGGGGTTGTGGTTCAGCAGTGGAGCACTCGCCTAGCATATACAAGGCCCTGGGTTCGATCCTCAGCACCACATAAAAATGAATAAATAAAATAAAGGTATTGTGTCCAACTACAACTAAAAAATTAAAAAAATTTTTAAAAGAAATAGAGACATCACTTTTATCTGGATAATGCCCTTCTTTCTGGGTATTTGTGGACTTTGAGCAAGACACGAAACTGAAACTAGAATATGCTATTTTTTTAATGAAAAATTTTAAATGCTGGGTAGTTTAAAGAAAATATAAAGAATTCACATTTTATCCAAACATCAACACTTCATAATTAATTCCATTATTTGACTATTTTTATTGGATTTCAAGTTATAATAAGCATACTTCTGGAAAAAAAATATATATATATATGTTTGTTTTTATAACTAGTGTGGTCACCATACTAAGGACAATGGGAGATAGTTCAAATTTAACTATATTGGGTATATATCTGAATTTGTTTGAAATCAACCAGATGTGCCTAATTTGGATTCCCAAGACATACACTTTAATATATAATGTGTTATTGTCTGCAACAATAACACATTATATATTAAAGAATATCCTTAAGTATAAGCTGGGGGACTCAATCTCCAGTTGGGAACACAGCATAAAATGTGACATGATAAAGGGAATGGCATTCCTTTTCTTTTCAGGAGGACTTCTCCTCCTCCTTTTTTCTAAGATTTCCCATTTACAGTAGTGAATTCTTGGAAGAAATTTTAAATAGAGTTTTGTAATCACTGTATAGCATTAGGTCACTTGTAGTGAATCTGAATCTACTTGTAAGCATATTAATTAACTGGCCTGTGCTCCCTTTTCCTCATTTCTACAAATTACTTAGAGTGCTATTTAGCTGTAACAAGACTTTAGATATAATATCTAAACCAAATTTCTCATTTGACAGGTGAGATAGTTGTAAGGAGTTTAAATTATTTTTTCTAAGGTGACAAGATTGCTTTGTAGCAGAGCCTGGGCTCCTGACATTCAAACTCTTATTTGCTCCTATATTGTTAAAATTATGTTGTAAATAGAGAGGAGGATTACTTCCTGAATATTGTAGGGTTTCACTGAATCTAAGCTGTCTGAATTAATATGCAGTCTTTGTTGCCACAGTAATGCTATTTTTCTGATATTTAGGCCCTATCCACACATTCTTTCTACACCAGCAGCTCAAACTATGTCTGCCTACGCAGGCCAGACTCAGTATTCGGGGATGCAGCAGCCAGCGGTCTACACAGCCTACTCACAGACAGGACAGCCCTACAGCCTGCCCACCTACGGTATTTCACATCTTATATCTATCTTCTCCTTCTTCAGTTATAAGTGGGTAATCTTGCTGGCTAGTAGTTTTATACTCTGATGTTAAGTTCCAGCTCAAGGAAGGTCATCTTACTAATCAAATGGTTTGTATGTGCATTTTGGAAACAGATTTGGGTGTGATGTTGCCAGCCATCAAGACGGAGAGTGGACTTTCCCAAACTCAATCCCCATTACAAAGTGGCTGCCTCAGTTACAGCCCAGGGTTTTCAACCCCACAACCAGGCCAGACACCATATTCTTATCAAATGCCAGGTAAGTAGCCATACATGAAGCGTGTATGGTGAGAACCAATTCTCTGAATGAGACTCTTCAGCTTCAGTCTTAGAAATGTTCAGTCCTAAAGACAGGTTTAAATTTACCCGGGCTCACATGATTTTTTAAGACAAACAAAGAGGCAGAAACATGATGGAAAAAGTTGAATGTACATCGAGAAACATGACTCATACTGAATGTAAATACTTAATTTTAAGCCACATAACATTGGCAGGAAACAGAGTCCAAGCAAAGCAAACTTCCAGCCAGCCACCAGGTCAGGCAGGCACTTGTTTGGCGTCTACTTAAGTGAGGAATTTAAAAGATTCATAGTGCAAACTAGTATTTTCTTTTCAATATTCCTTAATAATGTAGTGCAATTTTGATTGTATGAAAATAAATTAGCACTTTTCTAAGGTCCACCTAACAAGTGATTGTTAAGTGACTGRGGATTTTTGTTCATTCCTTAAATACTTACTACCTATTGGTAGTATAGTTCTTAATAGGACTTTTATATAATTTGTACCCGCTCCAATCATCCGTATAGGATCATTTAATTTTTTTTTCAATTTTGGATCCTGTAAAAAATTATGTCTGATCTTTATATAATAGTTGAAGAAACAATTTTAGTGACATGGTAAAAAAAAACATTAAAAGTTAGTTCTTCTCTGTCATTTTGTCTGTAGTTTTGATCATAATTTTGGGGCTATATTCATATATTTGAACCAATGGTTACTGACCCTTTACTTAGACATTTTTGGTCAGAATAGCAAATCTCTTTCCACCCAGAATATTAGGTAGAAACATATTTGCATACACGCTATTGCCACAATGAGTCACAGAGCTTCGTGAGCAACGTGATGAAGCATAGAAACATATTCAGTTTTCCCCTGTATAGGTTTATTCAGACCAAGTCAATTGCATTGATTACATAATATATTGCTAGTCAAAACACGTTGATAAAAGAGGTCTTCCACTTCCTGAATAGTCTTTCATTTCATTCCTTGATAAGTACATTCCACAAGAACATATTCAAAAAGAAAATTCTATAATTAATACTTTACTTGTTTGGGGCCCAGCTGGAAAAATAATTAAATAAATTTTAAACTTTGTAGTTAAGTTGTAGAAGGCCCTCAAACCTTAGATTCTTAAACTTGTATGAACCTTTTCCAGACTCTGAATCTTAATTCGCACCTCTCATTGTTCTAAAGGGAGACATAAGTATCAGAGACAGGTTGCTGCAAGCATCGGTTCTGAGTGGGGTTTGTATGTTTATTTCCTAATAATCTCACCCAATGTTTAGCTTCGTTAGTTTCAGTCTGCAAATGTGGTGGAAATAGTTTGAAAGATCCAAAATTCTGTCTGTCTTGTAGTTTATTCTTTGAGTACTCTGGCTCTTGTAGACACCTCTCCTTGAATGCCAGCTTTATCCTGGTGAGACTGTCCCCATGTTCTCCTACATAACCCAACAAACCCACATGGCAAGTCTACTAGCCACCATAAAAAGGCTAAGCACATTTTCTTTATGAGTCTCCCAACTTCAAATTTCACTGCCTTCATAACCAAATTCAAAATGTGTTTCTCTAACTGAATTCTGTGAAGTGAAATATTTTTATCATTTAACAAGGAAAACTTCTTTGGGGTCTGTATGGAAATTTCATTTTTATTTTATATATAATACTTATATATTTATGGGATACTATGTGATATATCATTATATAATGTTGAAACCAAAGCAAATAAAGCTTTATCCTCATTTATCATTTATTTGTGATGAAAGGTTTCAGAATCCTTTTTTTCTAACTTTTTTGAAATATATAGTACATTATTATCTACATTAGGATTTTACTAGTGTGCAATAGATACCAGAAATTTTTTTCTCCTATTCACCAACATCCCCACCCTTCACACCAGCCTCTTCTTTCCATCCTCTGGTAAGCACTGTTCAATTCTTAACTTATATGAGATCAACCCTTTGGATTCTATATATGAATGAGGTCACATGACATTTGTCTTCCTTTGTCTGGCTTATTTCACTTAATATCTTTCAGTTCCATCTGAGTTGTCACAAATGACAGGATGCACCCTATTTTATGACTGAATTGGTATGAAAGTTTTTAAAACAAAATTTGTTCTTCATCTCTAGGTTCTAGTTTTGCACCATCATCTACTATTTATGCAAATAATTCAGTTTCGAATTCAACGAATTTCAGTGGTTCACAACAGGTATAGTAGCTTTTTGTATTTGTTCTTTTTATATCTATTGCAGATTATTGAAGAGTACTTTCAATTATAAGTGTACATCCTCTGTAAATAAAGTTTCTTTATTTAAAATTCATATAGAAACTCAGGACAGTAAAAATTTACCTATTCAGAATTCTTGGGATATGTGTTATTCTAACTGTTTTAGATTTCTTGGTTACTAAATATGAATGCTGCAGTTGTTGCACTCTTTTGGCATGTTTTTTAAACATATTTTGCATACTTTTATCTTAAACTATCCTAAACACAATTTTATTTATCTTAACAAACTGGTATCATGATGAATATTAACTAGTAGATCAAACTATAATCAATCACAGTATTATGCTATAGATGCTAAAACTTTTCAATCTTAAAAAGTAACACTAGTTAATAAACAAAATGCCTCCAGAACTAAGACTGGGTTTTCATTTTTTAAGTATTTAATTCTATAATTTCTTTCAATAAATGTTTGGTTCCCACTTTCCTAATAGTCATAATTTTGGCTTTGGTCACTGAGCCTATCTTGAGCAGGCCTCTGCCTCCTCCTAATCATATTTTCCTAATGTTTTGAGAATTTTAAAAATCTAGCTGGTGGAGGGCTGGGAATATAGCTCAGATGGCAGAGTGATTGCCTCATATGCACAAGGCCATGAGTTCACTTCCTAGCACCACAAAAAAAGTAAAAATAAAAAAAATAAAAATCTAGCTGGTGGGAATGACATGTGGAACAAGAGTGCAGGTTCCTAAAGTAGTAACTTGGCACAGAGATGAACTTGTGATCTGTGCTGATGCTTCAGAATCTATTGTCTTTATTTAGTGATTCTTAACTATGCCCAGAGTAGTTGAGACTGAAGGGTAGCTGGTTTCTGGGCAGACAATGCACTATTTTATTTCAGTGTCATGGCTGAGCTTTCATGTATTTTAAAGTATCTTACTGCACAACTGCTTGGATTTTGCATTTACTGAAGGAATTCTATTCATTGCTTTTTTGTGTGGTTTTATTAACATAGAAAAAGGCCAGAAGGAAGTTGGCATTCATTAGAAAGTGTGGTATACTTGGTCAAGTAGCCATCAGAGTCATTGCATATTTTATTTAAAAGCTGAGAATTTTAGATCATTTATTTATTGATACAGCAGACATTTATTAAGCCCATGCTGTACATTATATTTTGACTAAGCATTGAATGTCAATATGTTACCATTATGTACAACTATAATGCACCAATAAAAATATGGAAAAAATACTTAAGTCTTTATTTCATGTTCTCCAAAGGACACAATCTTCGTGAAGAAACAGCAATGAAACAATTTGGATAGAGGGTGGAATATAATAATAAAATAATAGAAATATGGGTTGGGGATATAGCTCAGTTGGTAGAGTGCTAGCCTTGCATGCACGAGGCCCTGGGTTCAATCCCCAGTACCACCAAAAGAAAAAGAAGAATAGAAATATACACTAGTCAGAGTGGTAGTGTAAAGGAAAGACCACTATACTTGGGAGGATTTAAAAAATATTTGTAAATTAGAAGAATATTTATTTGAAAAGTTTTAATCATAAAATAAATGGTGGGAATGACAATTTTGTCTGACAATTTAAGTAGAATGGATGTCATATAAAATATAGTTTGTATTTTGGATCATGGGCTGAGTACCACTTCATCATTTCTGTAGATACTGAGTGTTTATCAAGTATTAGGAACAGGTCTGAACKTTAGGGGACAGTGGCGCGGTGGCCAGAATCTATCAGACCTGATCCTTACTTCATGGAATTTACAGCCTACAGACAATAAACCAATGAACACACAAATTAATATGTCCAGAATTAAAAAGCTTGAATGGAGAGAACAAGATCCCACTAAAAATAGTAACAGGAAAATAATTTTGAACAGGGAGGCTTGGTGGACGCCTTCTCTGTGAGAGACACATTTAGGCCAAGGCTCCTGAGAGCCAGGTGAGGAAAGAGGGCACAAGTGTTTCAAGCCAAGAAAGCAGCAAGAACCAGACCCCCAGGCGTGGAAGACTCCATGTGTCACTGAACTCCAGGAGGACTGGAGTTTAGCTGGAGCTGAGGGGAAGGTGGAGACAGCTGGTTTTGAAGAGGTAGGCAGAGGCCTGCTCACAGAGAGCCACAAGGGTTTCAGTTAGGCCTTTGGATCCTTGTCTAAACCCAGTAGGAAGCTATTAAAGGATCATAAGCAGGAGAACCCTACATCATTATGTAATTTACGTTTTGTGTAATCTGGCTTCCGAGTGTTTGGAGAAAGTAAAAAATGGAAACAGGAGATAAAGTAGATTAGTGAATAATGGGTGGCAATGAGAAGTGAAGGATGTGGAGACAGGGTGACCATATTGGGAATGAAGGAGGCAGAAATCTCAGAGATACACTGGAGCACTTGACACCCTATTCCCCAAAGACCACTGGGAGACTTCCCAGGGTGTACCCAGCTCCTCCTTAGGGTGTCAGTAGCTTATTAGCACACAGTGCCTCACACCCATGCTGGGGTCAAACAACAGGTACCAGTTGCAGCTCTGAAGCTTGTTGGCTGTGTAACCTGGGCACAAATCACGTAAGCATTCTGTGCTGTTGTCTTCTTTTTAATATATAACATGGGAATAGTAATTATAACACCACATAGGAGATTGTGAAGATTAGGTGAACAAAGCTATTTAAGTCCTTAGTACAGTAACTGGACACAAAGCCAGCCATACGTAAGACTCTGCTCTCTCTTTCTTTGACTCTGGAAAAGTCGGGTTGCCTGGAACTTGTTCAAATATTGATGAGTTTTTTCTTTGGCTCACAGGTAGTTGTGGGGAACATAAGATCCTGCAATTAACAGCCTAGTGGAATTTTAGTTTTTTGACATATTACTTAATCCTTTCTGGTAATACATGTATTTACTTATGCAGAGAATTTCCTTTTTGGGGAACCACATCCCACATGCATCTATGTTCACTCCAGAACTTGCCTCAACAGGGATCTTGATCCTGACCAAAGATCTGTCATCACTGATAGCATTTTGGGTTAACACATGGGAGATATATCAAACTTTATCACAACAGCCTCACTCACCATCTTAACATAGAAAAGAATTTTGCAGAATCATTCTTATCATTTTAAGGCTTTTTAAATTTTTAAAAAATAAAAAACAGGGGAGCTGACCCAGTGCTTTCATTTTTGTCTGTAAACAAAGGAGAAAAACCACAAGTTTGAAAAACCTCACCTCACTGAACCCTTTTAAGTCAAGGCCTCATCCACATTTTTACATAATGTCCTATTAGTAACTGTTGTATTCTGCTACCTTTCCTATCCTCTACTATGATTCTGCAATCTGTATTTGGGGTAAAAATGGGAGTTCATAACCAACTTGAATCTAATGTATGAAACATGATATGTCAAGAGCTTTGTAATGTTTTGAACAACCAATAAAAAAAAAAAAGTCAAGGCCTCAGATAGCACATGGTATGTGAGAGGCTAGGTTAGAAAAATCCTTTATTCTTTTGATTATTTACTCTGTACCTTCTGCCAAGAAGACAGAATCATCAAGGGCTGCCTGGAAAGAGAATAGAAATCAAGCAAATGCACAGGGCAGTCCGTGGGGAAGCCAGGTAGGGAGCAGCCACACTCCTCCTGCTGATGGGCTTGATACTGATTTTATAAATGTGACCTGATTCTGGCTCCCCCTCTCCTCTTCTAGGGCATAGGTCCTAATGATGTAAATCCTTGGATAAGTGTAATCAGGGAGGCAAAACGAAGCATATGCAAATTTTAGACAGATTAAAATTTGTGTACTAGAGCTGGCTTGTAAAAATAATAGGAAGCTCATTACCATGTGCATATATAGGTACAAAATGCTACCAAAGTCATCTCCACACGTGAGGATTAGCTCAATGCTCTAGACTCGGAAACAAATGGAGCCAAAGCTGGTCTTTCAATTGCCATGGTGATTGGGGTTGTTTGGGTTGTCTTGTTTTGTTTTGTTTTTTAAAGAGAGAGAGAGAGAGAAAGAGAGAGAGAGAGAGAGAGAGAGAGAGAATTTTAATATTTATTTTTTAGTTTTCGGCGGACACAACATCTTTGTTTGTATTTGGTGCTGAGGATCGAACCCAGGCCACACGCATGCCAGGCGAGCGTGCTACCGCTTGAGCCACATCCCCAGCCCTTGTTTGGGGTTTTTTGCTTGTCATTTTTGTTGTTGTTTGGAGCATAATGGATGGTAATTTCTCTTCCAAGCACACACATCTCCATTATTTGTTTCAGGATTATCCGTCCTACACAGCCTTTGGCCAAAACCAGTATGCACAGTATTACTCAGCATCAACCTATGGAGCATACATGACTTCAAATAACACAGCCGATGGCACGTCCTCATCAACCTCCACCTATCAGTTACAGGAATCTCTCCCAGGACTGACTAGCCAACCAGGTACAGATCTTCACCCAGGTGAAATACTGTTAAATGTTTTCTAATAACATGGAGAAAATGAGCTTTTTAAAAATATGCCTGAAAATTCCCAGATAATTGTGATGATATTTAATCTACATTGGCCTCACTGCAAAAAAATGAGGCTCTTTTGATATTTCAGAAAACCTTCCTTTTAGATATGGAACTGTTAGGAGATTGGAATCTCAAAGAGACTATGTATGTAGGAATGTGGATATGGGCACATGGACCTTTTGCCAGACTTATTCTTTATTTTGTCAAAAACTTGACAGCAGAGTTATAATATTTTCTTCTTGAGTATAACTGATAATATTTCCTTTCTGCCAGAGAGACTGCCTAGGTCCTTCACCCCTGGTTCATCAGTAACTCCTACAAGTCCACATTTGTAGGATCAGTGGCAGGTAGTTTAACATCTTTGCCTGATGTATGCTATTTGAAATCTATCACCATTCTCATTATATAAAGCTTTACCACCTTCTTATTAGAATCATATTTGCTATATATATTTGATATATCAAAGTATTAAAAGTTAAAGACAAGTTTTAATACAGATTCAACATAATCTCAAATCAAAATGTCAATAGATTTTTTTGAAGTAATTATAAAGGTGACTTTAAAATTACAAGGAAAGGTAAAGGAACAGAATAATGAAAACAATTTTGAAAAATAAGAATGAAGTTTGAAAACTTGCACTGATTAATTTCAAGATTTACAAGTATAGAAATCAAGAAAGTACAGTAYTAGCAAAAGTATAGATTCATAGAGAAATGCAAGTGTAAAGACAATTGAATGAACAATTAGTATCTTTTAGCAAAAGGTACTGGAAAAACTAAACATCAATATGCAAAAGGTAAAAGAATCTCAACTCATAACCCATATGCAAAAAATTAAATTGAATTATAAGCCTTCATATAAAAATTAAAAACTAAAAAATATCTAGAAGAAAAACAAAAGAAATCTTTGTGACCTTGGACAACATAAAGATTTTGTAGATATGACACTGAAAACACAATTCATAAAAGAAAAGTTAAACTAGATTTCATCAAACTAAGAAGATCTTTTAGAAAGCCACCACTACAGGAAGAAAAAGACAAGTCACAGAGAAAAGATTTCCAAAACACATATCTGATAAAGGACCTGTATCCAGAATACATAAAGAACTCTCAAAAAAAAAAAAAAACTTTCATAAATACTATCAATGTGTTTTAATATTTTTCTGCCTTTTAGTTACTTTTAAGACCTAAATTCACCCATGTCTTTTATCTAGATTTGGAAAGAAAGAATATGGGAAAACATGGTCACAAGTCAGCAAATTCTAACTGGACAAATAGGGCCAAGATGATTCAATTCCATTAAACAACTATTTATTGAGTTCCTATTAGGTCCCAGCATTGAGCTAGGAACTTGTACTTAAGCAATGAAAAAAAAAAAAAGCTTTGCCATCTTCTTATTAGAATTAGACTCTGCATGTCTTTAATGTCCTTTTATCAAGCAAGATAAAAATCAGGCAAATAATTAACAGTGATGTATTAAGAAAGGGAAAATACTGGATTATATTTAAAATATTAACAAGTAAACTAATGTGGACATAAAGAACTAACAACGAAACACACACACACACACACACACACACACACACACACACTCTTATATATTTTTGCAGTGCTGGGATTGAACTCAGAGCCTCACACATGTTAGGCAAGCATTTTACCACTGAGCCAATGCCCAGCCCTAAACCAATATTTTAATTAACATCCAAACTATGCTTATATCATGAATTGATGGAAGGGCAGCATCATTTCCTGTTAAGAATAGAGTAGTTCTCCCTTATTCATGGTTTTCTTGTTGCAGTTTCAGTAAACTATGATTGACTGTATTCAAAAAATATTAAGTAGAAAATTCCAAAAATAAACATAAGTTTTTAGTAACTTTGATTATAGTCCACTGTTAAAATTGTTATTACTGTTGTTATCTTACTATGCCTAATTTACAAATTAAACTTTATAATAGGTGTGCATATATAGAAAAAAAAAAGTATCTAAGGGCTTTGGTGCTATCCTTGGTTTGAGGAATCCTTGGAATATCCTGGAACCTATGCCCTGCAACTGAGGGGAGACCACTATATCTTCGCTAACCTTGGACCCAGTGAAAAATAATCTAGAAAGTTTAGTTTGTCTTTGTTGCCCTGCATTTCAGTTTCTTTCCCCCTTTAGATTCCTTTTAGATTCTCCATCCTTTGCGCACACAGCCCCTTTCAGTTCCTGGTTCTTGTCCCTCCAAGGCTTCCTGTTTAGGTTTTCCACCCAGCTTCAGCCCCCCTAAGCATTTGCCTCCCATGGAGGATCAGGTCTAGGGTCAGGCCAGCAAAGAACCCAGAGTGCACAATTTAGGGAGGCACAGCTTCTCAGACCTTAGCTCTTATGCCCTAGGTGTCTCACTAGTTAGTCCCAGCCTTAATCACATGTCCCAAAACTGCCCTGCTCCTCTTTGAGCAAATATTTACATTTCATCAAATCAAGGATCTTGCCATAAAAACAGTGATCTCAGAATCCTTGCTTCACGAGTGGTGGAGATGCTGTAGATAGGGAGGCTTGTCATACTCTCATCACATTGGAACGATTTTTCTCCATGGTGAATGCGCAGGCAGAACAAACGAGGGGACTCTGCTGACACAGAACCACAGCAGTGTTTGTCATCGGAGTGTCAGAGACTGAATGACAGACAGGACCATAGGGTGTTTTGAAGTTACTAGACTACAGTTACCATGAATGGAAACTGTATGCTCAGAGACGGAATGTGGTGCATGGTGCTTGGGTCCAAAGTTGATTTTGCTATAGTTTCCATGTAATCACAGCAGGGTTTCTGTGCAGGAAACACATGGATGGTGACTTTCCATTTGCTAAATAACACTCCATATTCAGAAAAGTAGTTTTATTCATGGTACARGTGCTACCTGCAGGCAGGGAGATATTCTGGGTGGGGACTTTGAATGCGGCACACCTACGTGTGCATTCTCGTGTTTGCTATAAGGTTCTACCATTTCTTCGGGCTTCCAGTGGCTGCTAATGCCAACAAATAGGGATTAGCATAATTTTTTTCATATTTCATCAGACTTTTAGTTGAATTTAAAGAAGAACGTATTTCTACTTGTAACTACATTGTTCTCTCAACCAAAATCATAACACACATGTCTGAATTTTTAAGGAATTCTGTGATCTCTGACCTTTACTCATGCCTATTGAGATCTGGCATGCCTCCAAAAAGCAAGCAAGTTTATAACTATGAATTTGTTTTTATTAATGATGAAATCTGATGGATTCAGTTCAAGGGCAGGAAAAGAATTTCCCATTAACTGATTCTGCATTTTGGACTTATAGCAGAGACCTAACAATTAAGTCCACAATTTTTCACAGAACATTTCACTGTTTTCCATCTTTAAAACAGAAACATGCCCTATGTTCAATAAGAGACAGCTGGTTGTTCAGATATAGAGATAAACCTAATGAAATAAAGTTGGATCTAAATATCCAAAGCTTACAAGGGGCAGTTATTCATTATTGTACTGATTAATTATTCAATCATGTAGAAAAGCCCTGGGCAGTTGGTAATGACTGATGTTATTTGGAAATTGCAAATAGCGTTCAGTTATTTATTTTACCCTATTAGGTAGTTTGACAATGGATTTAAGAAACACTACTGTGCTGATTAAGAACAGACATTTTAGTTCATTATCATTATGAAGACCTGTCTTTGGCTTTAACACAAAGTTTATCTAGGGTAAAATGATTTGCATGCAGAATGTTTTGAGAATAGATCAGCAARTGAAGATGAAAGATTTTTACAGTTATTTTTATTAAATATTTTAATCTTCTTTAAAGTTAAGTGTGGTTAGTACTTTGTAGCAGTATTATCCTTTACCCTAAAACTATGATACACATTACAGTACATTAGCTAACTGAACAAGTGCTCCAGAAATGTCAAGGAGATAGTAAATCACTTCCCTCTCTGAGGTCAGCTTCTCAGGCAGAGGATAGACCACAATGAACTTTGCCAAATTACATTTTCCCCTCTTGAAGTATCCCATGCCCTTGTACAGTGACCTGAGTAAAAACAGACACTAGAGCTAACAGCTCTAGTCACTTTAGTCTCTCTTAAAAAAAAAATAGTACCAACAAATGTTTAATGATCAGTTAAGCCCAAGTTTCTAGTTTTACTCTTTATCAGGAGATAGAGGTCCATACTGTCTCACCTGGATAGGCTCTGGAGGAGAAGATACCCACCTGCCCTCCACAGAAAGTACTTTTTCACTTCAGTTAAGTCCTTTCAGTGAATTTCTTGGTCCTTTCTTTCTCACACAGCAATAATGACTTTTCTATTTAATTGCTTTAAATGACAAATTTTAATATATTTGCCATGTAAAACATGTTGTTTTGAAATATGCATGTATAGGGAAATGACTAAACCAAGCTAATGTATTTGTGACCTCACGTACATCATTTTTGTGGTAATAACACTTAAAAGTCATTATCTTAGCAATTTTCAAAAAATATATATTATTGTCAACATGGTCACTGTGTTGTACAATACCATCTCTTCAACTTGTCYTTCCAAGTTAACTGAAATTTTGTATGCTTTAACTGACATCTTCCCAATYCCTGGCCCCAGCCTCACAGCACATGGTAACCACCATTCTATTCCATTTCTGAGACTAAACTTTTGCACTCTACATGCGAGTGAGGTCATGCAATATTTATCTTTCTGTGCCTGATTTATTTTGCTTAACATAATAACCTCCATATTGTTGCAAGCAACAGAGTTTCTTTCTCTTTTAAGGTTGAATAATACTCTACTGTGTACATGGACCACATTTTCTTTTTCCCTTCACCTTTTGAAGGAACCTTGGGTTGATAGCATATCTTAGCTATTCTCAACAGTGCTTCAGTGATCATGGGAATGCAGGTATCTCCTTTACATAGTGATTTCACTTCCTTTGGATATACACCCAGGGATGGGATTGCCGAATCATTTGGTAATTCTATGTTTAACTCTTTGAGGACCTTCCATGCTCTTTTCCATAATGGGGGTCTTCATCTACATTCAACAGTTGCAAGTGTTCCCTTTTCTCTACATCCTCTCCAACACTTAATATCTTTTTGATAACAGACATCCTAACAGGTGATATCTCATTGTAATTTATTTGAATTTCTGTCATTATTGTTGAACATTTTTTCATCTTCCTGTTGCCCATCTGCAGGTTTTCTTTTAAGACATATCCACTGAGATCCTTTGCCCATGTTTTAATGAGGTTATTTGTTCTCTTACTACTGAGTTGTTTGAGTTCCTTATATTCTTTATATGTTTTGAATACTAACCGCTTATCAGATGTATGCTTTCCAATATTTTTGCTCATTCTGATCAATTGTTAGATTATTTCTTGATCTGTAGAAGCAGGCATAGATTTGACCTTTTTGTAACCTGGAAAATATATGGCAATTTGGGGGAAGCCTCATGATTGAAGCAGAAGTTCTGAAGTCACATCAACATTGTAAAATACAAGCTAATTAATTTTGGTAATTTAATTAAATTTCACWTGTCTCCAGTCTCTCCCTAAATGACAACAATGAAGGACTTAATTCACTTTGTTGGAGTGAGTTTAAATCATGTGCATACGTACACACTACAATGAAAAGCTCTGACAAATCAATAAGAAAAGCAAGAACAACCCATTTTTTAAAATGGGCAAGAGCTTTAACAATTATCAAAAGAAAATATRAAATGGACAAGAAACATATAGCAAAAATGTTCTCCATCATTACACATCAAGAAAATGCTAATTAAAATGACAGTGCAATACTACAATGCATTCACAATGACTAAACTAAAGAAGACTAACCATATCAAGTATTGTCATGGATGTGAAGCAACTAGAACTCTTGTTGTTGGTAGGAGAGCAAGTTAATACCCTCACTTTGGAAAAAGGTTGCTGTCTACTAAAGATGCACATATGCTTATCCTCTAACCCAGTAATTGCCCTGTGAGGTATAGATACTCAAGAGGAATGAGTGCTTATATCCACAAAAGCATGTACAAGAGTGCAAATGGCAGCTTTCTTCATAATAGCCTAACACTGACACTAACCCAAATGTCCCTCAATAGGAGGGATAAAATTTAATATATGTACTTGATGAAGTTCTAGCCACATGAAGGAAAGAACAAAGAGTTGTTCTAGGTCTTATATGGATAAACTCAAAGACATTATTAGCAATGAAAATTTCTTTTTTAAAAAAAAAAWAATGCATGACACTTTCTAAGTGTTTAATAAATTTAGAACTATTTTTCATGGTTTGCTTTTAAAGCTGTACTTTATTCCCATCAAAACATTTCTGTCCACATTTTTTTCATATTCTTAGAGCATTTTTAAGACCCTTTAGTAACTTGCAAAGTATTAATGGGAATGAATTCTTCTGCATACGAAAACTCAAGATACTTCTTATGACCACATCTTTTCCCTTCACAACTGTGGCAGTTACTGAATCCCARATTCAAATAGCCCTGTTGTTCCTGCTAAAGTTCTTCTTTATTGACCCACTCTACAATTGACTTCCCATAACTGATGGCAATAATTGAGATTTTGTAAGTTTCTGTTCTTTTAGCTCTTGTACTGTGGGAAGAACAAAGCTGCCTATGGTGTATAACACTTAGAAATTGATTTATCATGAATATCAAGACAGGTTTTATGGACTATTATCCAAAAATTTTAAAAGCTTACTTAAGAGAATATCAATTTGCATCATCATTTTATTTAAATGAGAACATTCAATTTGTGGAATATAGTAAACTTAGGAAAGGTTCAAAAAATAATTTTAAATATTTTATGTAATTTTATTAAAAGTTGATGTGTTTTCAAATAACTGAAGCCTCATTTAACACATGCAAAAGTAAGCTGAAACATAATTTACTACAAAATAGGGCTATATTTAACCCTACAACCAAAAAACTTTAACAGAGAAACATATACCATAAACTTACAATATTTTAAAAGCAAATAATATTTGCAAACATTTTTTTGTGTAAACATATTTTTTGATCCTGTCCTGACATGCACAATATTTCCCTAGAAAATGTTATAATCAAAAGAAATAAGATACTGGCTATGTAAAAACTGCTGTTTCTCAGAAAAAAATAATAATGCCGAAGGGATTGGTGACTGGTATGTATGTAGCCCAGTGATAGCACATTTGCCTAGGATAATGCACAAGGCCCTGGGTTTGGTCCCAGTACTGATAAAAAGGAAAGAAAAAAAATAATGTATATAAGTATGYCTGGTTTGTTCAGATTTATTTATTTAGATTAATTTCTGCTTGGCTGCCTTGAGAATTTTTTTACTTTAATTTAATGATAAAGCATGATAGCCATAACATCTTTATGTTTAAAAATGTGCAATTTAAACTTAATATAGTTTGCAATCTGATTCTCCTAGAAAGTTTTATTTTATACATATGATTTAAATCAAATTAAACATAAATCTGATTTTCCCTCAGTAGTGCAAAAAAGTAGCTACTATTATCGGTACTTTAATRTACAATGAAACAGATTCAGAGAGATTGAAATTCTTGAAGTTATAGATTAAGACTGGCTCCTTTCTCATGGTGGCCTCAGTTTATCTTAAGAACCTCTAACAGTTTTTCACTGTTCATGAGGTACCCTCCACCTGCTAAGATATATTGTCACTAGCTTTAGATATGTCAGAATTTTAGGTATTTGTGAGAGATACAGACACCAGCTAGATAAGAAGTCTGAACCTTAGGATATGGCTGGATAGAGGTATAAACTTGATCACAGGTGATTCAATACAGGTTCATTAATACGTAAGAGGGTAAAGTCACCCAGACTATGGAGTGAAAAGGATGGTGATCATAAAAATGGATCTCTTCAATACCAGCTTATAAGGAATGGCAGGATGGGAGTCCGTATCTCCTAGACAGAGAAGGGCTGGTGTTTAAGGTTTAGGTGAACTGAAGCTAGCTTTTGATAAATCAGATACATGGAGTGGAAACAATTGTGTTGTCTGATACTTTAGCCACTGGCCACTCATGGCTATTGAACACTTAGAATGTGGCTTACCATAGTTTGAGATATACTATACGTGTAAAATATGCACAAGATTTTAAAGATTCAGTATGAAAATGAGAATGGAAAACACGTCATTGATCATTTTTTATATGGATTACATGCTGAAATGATATTTTGCATATTCTGAGTTAACAATGTGAGTCAATTTTATATCTTTTTACTTTTTTTAAAGAGAGAGTGAGAGAGGGAGAGAGAGAGAGAGAGAGAGAATTTTTTAATATTTATTTTTTAGTTATTAGCGGACACAACATCTTTGTTTTGTATGTGGTGCTGAGGATCGAACCCGGGCCACACGCATGCCGGACGAGCGCACTACCACTTGAGCCACATCCCCTGCCCTCTTTTTACTTTTTTAATGTGGCTGCTAAAAAATGTTTTTAGTCAGCTTTYTCACTGCTGTGACAAAAAGACATAACCAGAACAATTATTTATTGTTTATTTTGCAGCTTATAGTTTCAGAGGTCTTGGTCTACAGTTAGCCAACTCCATTCTTTATGGCTTGAGGTGAGACAGAACATCGTACAGAAGTGTGTGGCACAGGAAAGTAGCTCAGAACAGGACACCAGGAAGCAAAGAGAGAGCTCTGCTCAACAAGGACAAATACAGATTCCACAAAGACAGCCCCAGGGTCCCACCTCCTTCAGCCACACGCTTCCTGCCTACAGTTAGCATCCAGTTAATCCCTATCATGACACTCAATCCCTAATTGGGTTTAAACTCCCATAACACAATCATTTCACCTCTAAACTTTCTTGCATTGTATCATTCATGAGCTTTTGTRGGATACCTCATATTTAAATCACAACAAATATAAAATTATGTGTGCAGTCATATCTGTGGCTTGCATTTATTTCTATTTCATGGAGCTGGTATATGAACTATTATTCTTCTAAGAAGTTTCATTTAAATGAGAAGATAGCAGAGAGTATCAAAATGGAAATGCAAGGTCAAGAGAAAGGACTTCTAAATTTGTCAGTGGACCACAGAGAAGGTTGAAGGAAAGATGAAAAGGGGTTTTTAATTAACCAGGCATGATTCCCTAAGAGGTGGAGCTAGGGAGTCCCCTTTGGATAGGATTGATCTAGAAGGCATCCTCTGTACTGTGACCAAAAAGAACGTGAGGATAGAGGACTGGGGTTGTCCCTCAGTGATAGAGTGCTTGCCTCGTACATGCAAGGCGCTGGGTTCAATCCTCAGCACCACATATAAATAAATAAATAAATAGATAGATAAATAAATAAATAAAGGTATTGTGTCCAACTACATCTAAAAAATATTTAAAAAGAAAAAAATATGAGGATAGAGCTAAATATAGATAAATATGTAGGTGAAGGCACAGAGAGAAAGTTGAAGATGTGATGTATAAAAAGTGTTTGGGTTTAATAGATCATATAAATTAAAACAGAAGGGATCTGCATGACCTGTAAAAACTTTGACTCAATTAGAATTTTTGGGTTTGGGATTATAATAATTCTTTTCTTTTTCTTTTTGTCACAAGATTTCTATTATACAAAAATTTGTTAAGATAATTAATACTGGAGGCCCATACCTGATCTAAATATGAAGTGCTCTTCTTGATACAGGTTATGTTTTTGCAGGAGAGTTTGATACTGTGCAAAGCCCCTCCACACCTATCAAAGATCTTGATGACCGAACATGCAGGAGTTCTGGGTCTAAGTCCAGAGGCAGAGGCAGGAAAAACAACCCTTCCCCACCTCCCGACAGTGACCTGGAGGTATGCCTGCTGATTCTTCAAGAGTGCAGTCTGTTGCTCTATTTTAGTGATTGATGGTTTCTCTAGCTTACTCTTCCATTAAATTTCAGAATTAAAGTAAAAAAGACATATCATGAACTGAGTAGATCTGCTTTGTCACAGGCATTTTACAACTCTAAGTTCTGAAATTTCATATTGAATGACCATTATAATAGTAAAATGAAAAGCAATGACAACTCAAAAGTAATAGTACTTTACAAATTCTAAGGCCTGAGATAATCACATCTTTCTATTCAAATTGGCAAAAACAAACAAAGTTTTAAAAAGAAAGCCATTTTGTGGGACCATTTCCTAAGAACATTATATTTGGTAGGATTAAAGTAATGAAAGACTTATACATATGGGTTAATATATTTTAAAACATAAAATAACCTGTTTGGAAAAGAAAGATCATCCCCAAATAGGAAAATGTCATTCATTTGACTTATGGGTTTAAATTGCCATAGCTGAGAAAATTTAAACTATGTAATTTTCTCATTTAAGAGCCCTTTTGAGATTCATGTATACTAAGCAGGTTGTTTTTTATTAAAAGACATCAAGAAAAACTACTATTACTGGTAATGTTACTTCTTATACAAACTCCTGCTTCAATTGAAAAAAAAAATTTTAATTTCCGGATTTACTATACCTCCACATAAAAGATGATTCTTTTACCTGAACAATAGCAGCAAATTTAAATGCCTTCAAGAACCTAGAAGGTAATATTGGTGATGAGACTGGGGAGCCCAGCAGACCCTGGAAGAGGAGAGCATTGGTCTGTTCTAGGGGACCTGCCATTGGTCCGTTGCAGGGGACCTGCCATTGGTCCGTTGCAGGGGACCTGCCATTTCTGCAGTGTGGGAGTATCAACCAGCCTGGCCCCAATCTCAAGTTTCTCTGTTACAGTCAAAACTCTGAAGCTTGATGAAATCTCTTAATTCTGAAATGGTGATAAATAATTTCAAACCTTTTCAAACTCCGCAGGTTAGACAACATATTCATTGACCTAATCTGACTCAACGGTCTACACTTTGCATTTTCTATTTAGAGGTTACTCACAGATTATTTTAAATATTTTTAAAACCCAATTCTTTATATGTAAATTGCAAAATTCCACAAATCCATGAGGTCTAAAACTTCAAAGTATATATAGAAGTTAAGCACACTTCTATTATAAAGTCTGAATGTGTCTTTTTTTTTTTTTTTGGTGTTAATTACCAGTAGAAGAGTTTGAATGAATTTATGCAGTTTAGATCATCAGATATTAAGCTTATTATCACTTGTATTACTCATGTTTTTCTGGATTTACAGGAGTTAGAGTTTTCAAATGAAAAATAATAATGGAATAAAAAATTTTCTGTAAAACAGTATCAAGATTATACCTGACAATGTAGGGAGATGTTTTCTACTTATGTAGAGGTTTCTGCTTCCTTTAAACTTTGTGAGTTTTTGATATTGATTTTTTTTCCCCTCAGCGTGTATTTGTCTGGGATTTGGATGAAACCATAATTGTTTTTCATTCACTGCTCACAGGGTCTTACGCACAGAAGTACGGCAAGGTAAGGAATCAAGAACTACTGTACTTGTTAAAAGAAAATGCTAGAATGAATATCCACACACCTATTTGTATCTCATATTTATTTTTATTACCTGTTTCATAATGAACATACTTCACAAATGTATTTTCTTAGCTCTAACTAGTACTTGTTCTTAACTAGTACTTATTCTTAGCTCTACTGTACTTGTTAGAACTTATTTTATTCAAAAATCAAAGGTCACTTAAAAGTACTGTTAAGTGCTTTTATTGCAATCTGTCAGATCTTCCCTTAGTTATCTATTTCCAGTGGCTTACAGGACTTTAACATGAACTGACACATTTCACGAAGCTAATGAGAAATTGGATGCCCTCTTGGTTCTTCATAATGACTTTCAGCTTTTTACAACAAAACCAAGTTTCTTACTCTTACACAATTATTTGAAAAATCAGGAATCAAAATAGACTTTTAAACGTTTGAAAACCATGTCTTATTCCCTACTAAGAAAACTTGAAGAAATTGAACAAATTTGTTGTACCTGTTACTATAGGATGCTATTTTGAAACAAGCAGTCCTTATTTTTTTGTCTGACAGAGTTTTTGGATTGATGAATGAAAGAATGTTTCTGTACCTTGAATATGCACCTGAACCTGAGAGATAACACCCCCTCAGGTTACTCATAGTCAGCGACAGACAGAGGATCTCTTTGCTTCCCTGCCTTTCTCCCCTGCTGTTGTTTTCCTAGACAGTTTCTTATAACATAGTGTTATTCRCTGTGTGAGTGCTGTTCCCAAGACTGACGCAGCAGCAAGAGGCCTATCAGCTGGAAACAAATTTTTAGGCCATTACTGTTGAAGACCTTTACAATTTMGGATTAATGATCTAACCAGAATGGATTGAGAACAAGCTGGTCTGCTTTTGACTACTGTACTTAAAGTTAGATAGAACTTGGTTCCTTTACAGTACATCACACCTACACAAGCATCTTACTCTTTTTAGCAACACACTAGTTGATAATGRGTGTCTCAGGCCAGCTCAACATGTGTTTCTTAGCAGTTATGTTAAGAATTGTCTTCTAGACAAACAGTGATCAATTTCATTGAAACTTCTTCCTCAATTGCACTTTGGGCGAATCTATATTACCATGTTTTGGGTGTAGGTAATGGATGTTTCTAAACAGATACGAAAAGTAACAACCATTTCTAAATGGACTTTTAGGCCCTTGTCACAGTTGTCATCTAAAGCATTCATCTCTAAAGTAAGAAGAATAYATGTGCATTAGATACACAAGACTGTCAACTTGGATAAGGAAAGAAAATACTAGAATGAATATCCACACACCTATTTGTATCTCATATTTATTTTTATTACCTGTTTCATAATGGACATACTTCACAAATGCATTTTCTTAGCTCTAACTAGTATAACAAATCGCCCACAGATTGGGTGGCTTAAACAGAAAACAATAATTTCTCACAGTTTTGGAGGCTGGGAAGGCCAAGATCAAGGTGTCAGCAGATTTGATTCTGGTGGGGGCCTACTTCCTGGCTTCACAATGGCTATCTTCTTGCTCTGTAACCTGATATGGTGGAGAGCAGAGRAATAAAAAGCAAGGACTTTTGTCTTTTTACAAGGACATCTGTCTCATTCATGAGGTGTCTACCTTCATAACCCAATTATTTCCCAAAGGCTCATCCTCCCGGTATCAGCACAGTGGAAGTTAAGATTTCAACACACAAATTTAGGGAGGTCACAAAGATTCAGTCTATGGAATACCCGTGTGTATTAGCCATTTTTCCATTACTGTGACAAAAATTCCTGAGATGATCAAGTTGTAAGAAGAGGAAAGGTTTATTTTAGTTCTCAGTTTCAGAGGTTTCAGTCCATGGTCACTTGGCTTCATTGCCTTTGACCTGTGGTGAAGCAACACATCATAGCAGGGAGTAAGCATGTGGTAGAGAAAGCTGCTCATCTCGTGGCAGTTGGGAAGCAAAGAAAGAAGAAAAAAAGGGGTGAAGGTCCCAATATCACTTTTGAGGGCAAGTCCCCAAAAGCCTAACTTTTTCCCACTGGGCACCACCTCCTAGAGATTCCACCACCACCTCTCAACAGTGTCACAGGCTGTCTGGCAACCAATCCTTAACTTGTAGGCCTTTGAGGAGCACTTATCTAAATCATAGCACTACACATGAGTATCATTACAATATATGAATATAATGTGTAAGTAAATTATATAAATTTGGGGTACACACACTCCAAATACTATTACTTATAGAATATACAATTTAAAATGGTTTCAGAAAAATAATCYCAAGGATTTCTTCTGAAATAGCATTGGCTTATAGGAAATAGCCAGTAAGACTTATTGAATTCATTGCAATATTTTTGTACAGCTAAGTTTCATATTAAGACAAGTGTTTAAAATAAATAATCTACCTTGAATGCTTGCTCTAAATAAAGGTCTTCTCAAAATAGTCACCATTTGGGGCTATACCTAGATGTCCATGTTGTTCCCCTTATGCCAAGTCAGGGATGGAGATCATATTTTTTAATAACCTTTAAAMTTTGAACATATTTTCTACATCAAATCTCCTTTCTTTGGGGGGAATTTTTATCTACAAAAATAATATCATTTGGACTCAACACAATGAATACAGAGCATGGTAAAAACGTCATTATATATGTTTGCTTTATTTATTTATTTATTTTGCTATAGAGCGGTGAAGCTGCTTTTCCCAGCTGACTCATAAACTGGCTTTCGGAACAATTCCAAAAGCAAAGTTCTCAGACTTCTCCCAGCAGTGGTACATCACTTACATTAACCTGTCCCCTCCCTGGATGACCACCKGGCTATGCAATCCACATGTCCATGTTTCATTATTTCAAAGTGTTGTCTAGAAAATTTATTCAAATCCAAAATAGAAACATTCTCCATGCTTCCAGAAGTTTAAAAAAAAAAAAGAAAGAAAGAAAGAAAAGCCAGCAGTAATACCTAAAGAGCAGAGCAGGGTGAGGGGGAAGAATGGAGCTAACCACTATTTACTGCTGGTGATGTTCTACACAGTGGGTGTCACACAGTGCCAAGGGCTAGGTTGTTCTCCCTCTCTGTAGATAGGAAACATACTCAGAAAGGTCACTAAATGGGCACATGGCTGCACAGCCAGCCAGTGACACAGATGAGTCCTGGGACCCCTGGACTTCTTGACTCCAGAGAAAAGCTATGTTCTTCCCGCTATAACACACCATGTGGCATAGACAATTTATCCACCAGGAATGCAATATATAAAGARCATTTCCCAGAATCAGTAAAAATAGCAACATACCATGCAGATGGTATGTGAGTTCTTCTTTTAATTGTACTAATTTTAATTACCTTCTCTCAGACTCTGAGATTCTTTCCCATTAAGAGGTAAAGCTAAAGACATGTTGTATGAAATAGAGTGTAGCAGATAGCAATAGTGCTCTTCTAATAGTGCCCTATTAGAAGATAACTTCACGTTCATCATGTGTGTCAGCCTCTGGCATTTCAGAGGCAATTGTGGTAATTAAGGGCCAGGGCTTTTGAGTTGGATGAACTAAATTGGAAAATTTAGTTTTGATGTTTACAGTTTTCTGACTCTGGCCAGTTGATTAATCCCCGAGTCTTAATGTCTATAAAATGGGAATAACATCATTACTGGAAAATGAGAATTAAAGAGCTAGCTAGCATGTTTAAAGGSTTTAGCAGAATGTTGGTTATGAATTAGCACTCAAGAATGTTGTAGCTGCTGTTTGTTACTTTCAGAAACATCATCATCCCATTTAATTCTCACAGTTACTTTGCTGCCTTTTATTTATTTATTTRTTYGTTTGTTTATTTATTTATTTATTTTGTGACACATGTTTTATGGATGAGGAAACTGGGATAATGAGGGCTTAAGTAACTTGATCAAGGTAGCAGAATAACAAATGCTGGCACACATGCTGGAAACCAGGTCAGTCTCTTGACAAGTCCGTGTTCTTGGGACCTACCCCTGGTTGACCATATTGAACAATGTTTTTACTCAAAGCAACTTAAGAAAATAAAAATTTTAAAAAATTTAAAGCTGTTTTTCCTAATCAAAATTTAAGATGCCCTGTTGAATTCCATGAAAAGCAATTTAGGTTACCTAATTTGTTGAATTATCATTTACATTTTTCTAAAAGTCATTACTGACATCTCCCTGAATGTTGATGAGGGAATGGATATTGCCTTTTAGCCAATAAGATGTTATTAATTTGGCCTATTGAGATGTAGCTTAGGAAGAGATGTTAAATCAGGTCATCTTGTGAAACTTGGACCACATGCAGCTCAGGGCTTATTGCAGAGGGAACAGAGAGGACATTGAGTGGCTTTGGCAAGTGAAAATGGTAAAGTAGAAACTAAAGCTCCTGGATAGATTGTATCCCTTGAGCAAACAATTATTAACACAAATGTGCTTCCTGCACTCTTGGAGCTTACAAATAAAATCATTTCAGGTAGTAACAACTGCTGTGAAGACAATAAATCTGGGTCATATAAAGAGTGACCTGGGTGTGTGACTAGAGGGGCAACGTTGGTGCTGAGAGCTGAATTACAAGGAGCCAGGCAGACTAGGGGGAGAGGGAGAATGGGGAAGGCTTCCCAGTAGGGCACAGAGGACCCTGAGATAGTGTTCCATGAATACAAAGTCCAGTGAGGCTAGAAAGTATACACAAGAGGGAGACCCATACAAGCAAGTAGAGAGATGGGCAAGGACAGGGGCAGGTAGGTCTTGTCCTCTGTGGTAAGGCATTTGGGAGTTTCATTAGTTGTAATAAAAAGCCACTGGAGGGTTTTAGGCAGAGTTGGGACTTGATGGTTTATAATCATCTGCCAGGTGAGAATGGCATTTAAAGGAACAAGGGTGGACACACATTGACCATATAGGAGCTACAGTGTGTAAGATATGGTGGTGGCTTAGGCTGGAATGGTACTTCTCAGCCCTCAGTGTGAGTTGCAGTAACCTGCAGGGCTTGTTAAACAG